TTCATAACACTAAGGGTAGTGTAGAATGTGGGTAAATCTGTGGGCTCAACTGCTGGGCTGTGAATTTGAGTTGTATCTTAATCAAGATGCCTTTCTCTCAGTTACTTGAGTCCACCCAGTTATATAAATGGGGAACAGCTTTTCTAAATGTTCTCTCTGAGAACATTCAAAAGCAATACATCAGATGTTAAGAGACTAGGTGTCTGATAACAAATCTAGTAAACGTGAACCAGGATGTAAAATTTCCTCTCCAAGTTGATCTTCCAGGACTTCGCATTTTGAACGCATACACACCTCTGTAACACCCATCCCTGCTGTATTTGAAACATTTGATTATAATTATAATTAATGATAATTCTGTTGTGAAAGATTCGCGTATGTTTTCAACAAGGCGTCAGAAGTCATGGGCATGCTAAAGTAATGCCATACTGTACGTTGAAGTAGATCAGGTGGGTAGCTGCGTCAGCTGCAAAGGAACAAGTAAAAGGTTTATTCCGTGCCGAAAAGAGAAGAGAGAAAACACAACGTTTCGGCTGCGACGCCTTGTTCAGGTGTGAGCCTGAAGAAGAGCACCTTCTTCACTATACCGTACGTTTCTACACAGTTCACTCAAGTCGCGCTGTCTGCTACGCGGTCGCTGTCCGCAGTCATGGTGCTGAATTCATGGTCACGTGACCCAGTGACGCAAACAAGAGGGAAACTGATTGGTTGTCAAAGTTGCAGGAATCAAGTTTCTATTCTCCACAACAAGCGGCGAGACTTTTATACAGGACAGAGACCTGTAGCCCATCACGCAGTATGTAGATGCATACTGCTTCATTTTTTAATTAATACATGCATATTACATTGACACCCAGGATGTCGCAGTTACAGATCACATTGGTATTCCACTTCTAAGAAGCAATTGCATATTTTTCCTCTACAGAAATTTTGAGCACATTGAAATAACGACAGAACTCACTGCAGTCGCAGACATTGAAAGATGTCACTGAATAAAAGTGAGCAATGGAGACTGTAGCAAAATCACGAAGTCGTGGAGTGATTTAAAAAAAGAATGGTGAAAAGTATATTTTAATTCATCTGTATTATTAGGGTTGCCGTCTGGACACTTTTAATCGTAGTTTCTCGTTTGTTAATAAAACAATACGAAATATCTTGTTTTTGTTGATAGGGGGCAGTTGCACACAAGGATTGAATGCCGGCGTCACGATGTTTGATGTTTTCCTTGTTAGCTTGGGTTATGTTCGACCGAAGACACGGAGACTGGTCTGCGTGTGTCTGGAGACATTCGTGCACCGGGAGTCCAACTTTGCGCATTTAGCAGCTTATCGAGACAGGTCCTGAGTTCCCGCGACCCTGATCAAGAAGTAGCGCCTTTTGGCAACAAAATGCTTGATCGTAGACGTTAGTTTCCAGCGTTAAATTCGACAGTTGCAGAGCCCGGATATTCTCGTTTATATTTATGTTCGAACTGAAATTAATATTGGCCGCACTTTTAGACACAGACACGTGTAATTCAGTAAAAGTAGACAATGGAACACGACACTTTTCTGTGATCAATACTGTGACATTTACGAGGGTCTTTTCATAATTGTTACCGGCTGAGCGCTATTGTTATTAGAAATACTGTACTTAAATGTGCTCAATTTATAGATTTACAGTGGGGAACAAGACTAAAGAAAACAATACGCCGGAGTATATAAATTATACTACAGTTAATTTAACGTTAACTGATAAATTATCGTTAATATATGATTTAATTAATACATAAATTAAAAGGTAACGTCCTTTAACAAGATTTTCTTGTTCAGGAATTAGGAATGCTGCTTACTAAACGAGCCAAAATCCAGTATCTAACAGATAGCGGATTACATATGCTACCCCATGTTACACACATACTGCATAAGATAAATATGTTCATATACATAAAAGTATTTAAATTTGAGCGGGTAAAAGTTGACACTTTCTGATCTGAATAGAAATGGTTGAGATGGAAAACGTTCTTTTGGTTTTAAATATGTAAAGGAAAGTGCAGAGGAGTTTGCAAGATGAAATGCAAATGTGTGGATTAACACCATGCTTTCTTTCCCTAAAACTTTTCTGTTTCCCTTTTCATGACAAACCCCCTGCTGTTCAGAGCACAGGATCACATCCTTCTTGAAGGTAAAACTGTACTGTGATCTTGTGTTCTTATTATCTTGTGGATAACTAAAAATTAATGTGCAACTTTTTTTAGAACTTGATTTGAACCTCACACAGGAATGTTTCTGCAGAATATAGCTCAATTGATCAATTTACAAATTATTATTTGCACCAAACTGTAAACTAGGATATTCATGGCTTGACAACTCTACCTCAAACAACATGTAAGAACTTCCATCAATTATCAGAAAGATGCAACTTCTTGGTCAAGGTAGCAAAAACTTAGGACCTTTCCCAATAGTCAACTAGGCAAAGTTCGGACCACAGACTGGGCAGGACACAAGTCCACCATAAGGCTCAGGCAGATGCAGAATGAGACCACTTAGACAACAAATAAGCCAGCCTGTCCCATTGCTACAGGAAAATGGAAGAAATCCCACGCTGACACAGGTAAAATATGAAACCCCTCACAGGAAGAGCATTTTGATGGAATTGGATTGAGGACCGAAGAACTGTCTCTGGAATGTCCCCCAAGCTAGTTTACCATCCTTCGGATGAGACGTAAAACCGAGGTCCTGACTCTCTGTGGTCATTGAAAATCCCAGGGCGTTTCTCGAAAAGAGTAGGGGTGTAACCCAGGCGTCCTGGCCAAATTTCCCATTGGCCCTTACCAGTCATGGCCTCCTAATAATCCCCCTCTCTGAACTGGCTTCATCACGCTGTTCTCCTCCCCACTGAGAGCTGACGAGTGGGGAGCGTACTGGTGCACTCTGGCTACAGTTGCATCATCCCGGTGGGGCTACACACTGGTGGTGGTGGAGGGGAGTCCCCATTACCAGTAAAGAGCTTTGAGCGGAGTGTCCAGAAAAATGCTATATAAGTGTAAACAATTATTATTAATAATAATTATTGTTATTATTCGTACTACATTCTGTGGGTGACAGGGCATTCTCTCGTTATGCCCCAAGCTATGGATTTCTATTCACTAGGTTATCAGAAGGTCTTCTTCTATAGATAGGCTTTTAATTAGGCAGTTCTGGGTCTGCTCCTTTCATCTTCTTCCGTGTTCTAAACCCTTGTTTATAAACTGTGATAATTAGAGTGAGGCTCTAGAGTCAGAACAGGTGGGTTTGGGGTTCAAGTCTCCACTGCAGACCCTGCTGTTGTGCACCTGTTACTAGAGCACCTCAGTCAGCTACTTTTTATAATCATTGTGATGAACCTGTGTCAGGTCCACATGGGGTAGTCCCGACCTTTCTCTCAATTATAACAGAAGGGAAAGTAACGTGAGCTCTGATATGGATATGGGATCTGGGATATGGAAATCGCTATCCCTGTTTTGACAGTATGATTCTGCAGTGGTTTCGCGTGTTTTACATTTCTTCAGTCTCTCCTCAAACACTGAGTACACCGTACAGTGGGAAGAGTGAGAAATTGTGAAAAATGCAAATTCTGGTATACAGATATCTCTGATGATGTATGTAAATGAAAGTAAATGTATTGTATAAGAATTAACAAGATAACCTACTGTATGCCCTTTTCCTATGCTTGTGCAATGCCGGCGTGAATCAAGATATTTTTTCATTTATTCTAAAAGCCCTAACACCCAGACGACATCTTGCGAAAGAAAAAGTTGTAAAAAAGGCATTAATTTATGAAAGTGATGAATGCTACAGTATCTAACATACTTGCTCGTTTTGTCTTTGCCGTTTTCTTTTGCTGCAAGACAATGCACTGTGTAAAATTAAAATACTTTTGTTTTTTTAGAACATTTTCTCAAAACTGCACTTCAATGTGCATAATTGAAGTTACGGAAAAGTTTTTTTTTATTTCCTTTTCAATTTTCAGTGGATCATAATGACGTTTTCCAATCTGTTGCATTTTTAAACCTGATTACCTGTGCGCTAGTTGGGATGTATAACAGTAAAAAATAGCTTGGCTATTGGAACATAAAAATACATTTTTATAGATATAATTTTCTATAAAAAGTAACCTATAAAAAAGCAGTTTCTAAAATAATATGCAATTTTTCATAATGGGAAAATGGGTATCATAATTGACCTTTTCCCAAATTTCCATGTACATAATATGGTTATCAATTAAAGTAATTTTACTGCCTATTGTAGACAAAATGCATGTATTCTAAACCTTCAAAATTAATTAGACCATTCCATCATACATTTTGCACTTTATTGTTAAGAAAACATTGTTGTGTAAAGTTTAAACAGTGCGTGTTTGAAGGAATACGCACGATTGTGATTCAAGATTCAAAGTATTGTAGCACTGAAAGAATTGTGGTTTGTCCTGTTCTGGAGGAAGGGCGATGCCTCACCAAGTCCCAGCTGTCCCGGCTTCTAGATGATGAGCCGCAGCTAGGTGGGCACACTGGACAGCCTCTGAAGGGATGAGCAGGGATACCCCTGGAAGGGGAGGATCCTTTCACTGGCAGTTCGGAAGGCGATTCTACCCACGTAAGGCCGTTCCTTTTCTTTTCTTTTTGTCTTCACCGGGACAGGCTGACCTTTTTCACACACTGAGTTTTTATTTTGTTTTTGCCTTTACTCAACCTGCTCTTCCAGACTGGACCCCGTTAAACAGGGTAGGTCCAGTCTTGTTACCGCTGTGTTAGCAGTTTTTTCCCAGGCTGGGAAATAAGGGAAGGGAAGGGAATCTGCATAAGGGAAGCTTCTTGTTTTGGTTTTGGTGTTATTTTTGGTCCCTGCTAACCTCACACTGGTACTTCCGTCCCTCAGTTAGGGACGTTGACTTTTTACCGGTGCTCGCCGTCACTCTTCTCACGCCCACACTGTTACAAGGGGTTATACAATTCTTAGCAATCAATGAAAACTAAGTTCAAATTCATGAAGTTCTTCATTCTTTATGTGATATACAGAAACACACAATGAAATATAAGGTATAAAAGGAAAAAGAAAGATTCCTCTTTAGGCCATAAAATCACTTGTTTCGACGTTCCTTCTTTCTAGAAAAGGGCAGATGGATGTTATCATCTCTCAGTAAAAGAGCTTGATAGATGTGAGAGGCACCAGCAAAACAAAGACACTCTGTTCTGTGCGCTTGGCATTGTTACACAGGTTTCCAGTACAGCATATGACACTGGATTTGAATTTTGTGCCAAATATAAATTCCAGATCAGATGGAGGTGTCTTACAGGCGTTGTCACTGGCACATCCCTTGAGAGGTTGGGTCTTACCATTTACAACAGCTGAAAAATAAACATGTGAATCATTCAACCAGTAGTTTGATGTCTGTAATAACTAGGCTGTATTCCATGTTTCAAGAAACTTCAGCACGGTTTTTTGTATCTTCATTACCGTTTAATCTTAAATTGCCCTCCTGGGATGAATAAAGTATTTTGAATTGAATTAAAACCAACATTTTCAATAAAACACTAACATTGCTCCTTTATTCTTGTTTATAAAATAGAATATATAGACTATTCAAGTACAACAGCCATGAAAAGTAAATGATCACTTGAAGATAGTCTTAAGTTATTCTAACATTGCATAGTGACTTCTGAAATCTATCTTGTCAAAATATTGTAATTTTGTAATATTGTTACTCCGCAGACATCTTCTTAGCATCTTTCTCATTTGCCACTTTCATATTGAGTCTACACCATTTTTAGTGTTAGTTTAGTAGTGTTTTAAGCAGTATTTTTATTGAACATCGTATGGATCTAGCAGCAGTTCAAGTGAATAAGAAATATGTCTGTGGTTGGAAATATAAATGCTATAGAAAAGCAGTAACTCACCCGAAGTCTCAAAACAGCGATTTTCAACCCCTTGACAGTACATAATCTTACTGCATTCAGTCCCATCACAAAAATAACACTTACTATCATTGGGGGTAATGTCTGTATAAGGAGCTGTAAAACAACAATGGGTATGTCAGTAATGAAGGGGTACCAAAGTCCTAAGTCACTGATATTCTGTCCTCGTCCTAGAGCGCCACTGTGAATTCTGGTTTGAGCAGATAAATCAAATGTTCACAGAATTGGTTTGTATTGCCACTGTATCTGTACTATAGGTCTGAACTGATTGCAGTTATCTAGTTATCTGCAGCTCTCCAGGACGAAGAATGAATATGACTTGACTACATGAATTATTGTTTGATTAAATTATTTTTATTAATACTTGTTTTGGCTGATACTTTTATCCACAGTGACTAAGAGGGGTTAACATCTTAATGATGAGAATCTTCAAAAACTGGATCACAAAAACCTGAGATAAGCTTGAGTAAACTGTACATTAGCAGAAAATATGACATTTTCCATCCATCCATTTTCTATCCAACACAAACCAATGGATTAGGCTTCGGCTCTACTGTGATCCTGAATTGGAAAAAGTGGTGAAAAAATGGATGGATGGATATTTTTTTATTAAAATGATGAAAACTGGGTCTAGGTTAGAGCTAGTATTAATTTCAGTAATACAATTATGTTGTGTATGGACTATGAATTCATATCAATGTTGGGACACTGCTGCTGTTTAGTACAAAAAAAAGTTTGTGAAAAGATAGGTAATCATAATAGTGCAAGATGGTTTCTTCCTAAATAACAATTATAAATATAGTTAAAGCTATTATGAAAGACAGTCTCCAGACAATCTCTAGATGAGACTTTGATCAAATTGTTTCCTCATGTTTATGTACTGTAGAATTCAGTTAGATATAGTTACTTTATGTTAAGACAGCAGACAACACACCTGACATTCAGATCCAGCCATGATGAGTTTTATTACAATGTCTATTTGTCACAGAATATAAAAGGTCATAATAATCTATTTAAATCCCAAAACAATGTTATATTACAATGTGTAGTTGATAGCTGGCTAGAAAGGAGTGTGTGGCATTCTTTGACAGGAAGACATTATAATTTACATTAATTGTTTTGGGGTTTAAATAGATTATTTTAAATAGACCTTTTATATTCTGTGCTGCAGTTTCTTGACTTAAATGCAGCATTTATGGTAACAAGAGTTTTACATGGGTTGTAGTTTTTTTTAAATTTAAAATGCCCTTAGAAGTGCTTGTGTTCAGAGGAGAATAGGCAATGGTAAATCTTAATATCTCTGTTTACCAGACGACTGTAATAAAACTATTTCAAAACTGCGCTAAACTGTTCTGAAACTTTTTGATTCTTTACATGCATGACTTATGTGTATTATAACTCAACATTACATTTAATAGTTCTGCACAACACTGATATACGTATGAATAATTAATTCAAGCATTAATTACCAGGAATTTTAGTGTTGGTGTTGCAGTTGTCTGAGTTACAGCAGTCTAAATTTCCGGTGACCCTCAATGATCCAGTGTTTACTGACATGGGAGCTGTGCAGAGGTCAGGTATCGTGCAAGCCTGGGCAGTTATTTGGTTATTCACAGTTCCTGAAAACAGTTAATCAAAACAGGGGAAAACAATGATAGCTCTTCTATTTTACAGAAACTGAAAGAAATATGACACCCTTTTAAAGAATGAAATTAATTATTCAGTTTATATCCAAATGCCTTGAATACCAAACTTGATTTATCTCTCAATATTGCAGGGACAAAATTCCCATTTTTGAGACAGAATGGAGAACAAGCTCCATTATCAATCTGTAATTAACCATCTCCAAAGCTGGTCAACACAATCATCTTGTTTAGAATTGATTACTTTAACTCCCTACTTCCTGGGGTATCTAAATCCACTCTAGTGATTACATTCCCCCTGTCCTAGAGTCCGTATACTGGATTCCTACATGGTTTTGTGTCGACTTCAAAATCCTTATGCTCACCTACTATACAGTACAGAACTCTTCATGGCTTGATTCCTCAGTACCTGACTTACTATTTCCTGCTTTCCACCTCACAACCTTTGTCTGATTCTGCTCTCCTGTCTGTCCCTCAAGCTCATCTACATACTATAGGAGTGTTATTAGGTGCTAAAAGGTGCTAATAAAAATAAAGTTTATTATTATATAAATTAACTGAAACTTTTAATTCAAAGCATGAGGCATTCAAAACCTTGAGAGTTGCTCGCCAAGTAATCCAAGTGACCTTTTCAATATCAATAATGAAAAGGATCTCAGGGTGCAACAGAATATATTTAGCAAACAACAAAATTGCTGAATTTCATAAAAAGCTATGGGTATCTAATTCAGAATCTATTGCTAGTTTGTTGGAATTGACATTATGGAGAAATTAATTACAGCTGATACTAAGAACAGCAGAAAGGTTGCAAACAAGAGGATTCAGCTCTACCTTGTTTGGCAGTTTAGTTAGATGACTAAAATTTCATCCTCCTGAGTTAAAAGAACTCAATTTACCTTGCTTCCCAAAAAAACTTTTGAATGAAGCATTGTTTACTAAACTCCACCCTAAATAAATTTCCTTTAGTTTCCCATTGTGATCTCATTTCTTTGTTCCACTAAAAACTGTGAAAGAGGACCTTTGGTTGACCCTAACTATACATCTATAGATTTAATCAAATGGAATTTACTCTCATTATCCAGTTTTTATTCCTGCTACATATTTGAATGTCTTCAAAACGTTTTTTTTTTCACATAAGCAAATCAGGACACAATAGTCTAAATGCTGAATGTAGTGTCACTGGTTCTTTGTAGAACTTTAGCAATACTTCACACTTGGTGTGAACCTTAAATAATCTACATACTAGATACCCAGATCCCTCTTTAACTTACACTGTAGCTTACTGCAGTTCAGAATCACCTATCTGCTTTGTATAGTGTATGTTTCTCAGACCAGTGTAGATAATTCAATGTACCCATCAATGATAAACTTTAGAATTCACCTGTTGCTAACTCTGTTATCCACTGCCTGTTTTTTTTATCATCTACCAGTTTACCTGCTCAGAATCTATATAATTGAGATTATGAATGAAAATATCAAAAACTTTCTGGAAAATAAAATATAACATCATATTTCAGTGACATCTAATATACCTTCCTTGTTCTAGCAATGTAGTTATGACTTCCTCTTTCTAATTCTATGTTCTCTCTCAAAATACCATTTTATCTTTGAAATGTAACTGTATAATCTCCTTGCAGTCTGTTCTTTCCTCCTTCAACTGTTGCTCAAAGAATGGCAGTACCCATGAACTGATGAACTGCTAATGTAGTGCCCTTCCTTGACATCAATGACAATTGCAAACCAAGTAATTATAAACCATACCATGCTTTAAAAAAGCCTACATTAAATGCAAGTTTAGGAATGTATTTATACGTATTGAACAGATGGGGGATCTGCACCAGCACACAAAAAGCAAAGGACTAATTACAGATTAATTCCATGTAGGAAAGTAAAAAGAAGAAAACACAAGTTTGAGCTGTGACATACTCTACATAAAAAAGCCTCCAAAGCCTTCTTCAAGTACAGAATAAACACGTTTATTCTTGAACACTTGTTTATTCTTTTTCCTTTTTCCTTTTTAGTGTAGCCATAACCCCTACATTGTATTATACATATTTTCTGAATATGCTGTATTTAAATTTTAGCAGAGTTGAACTATGAACTTAGTTCTCTTACCTGAAGCTTTCAGAATCCCTTTAAAACACTTTGTGTAGGAAGGAAAACATGTTGAAGTCATAGGTTTGCATGTGGTTGACGTTATTGGTGAATGACACACAGTACAATCCAGAGCAGTGGCTACAAAACAATTACAAAAAATAATAATCAGAAAATATAATCTTTGCATTGACATTAAACATGTAGGAGCTTTCCTCATCTTTCCTTTTCATGCAACTATGTTATGTTGTGTATTTTGATGATGTTACAACAATATACATTAAGTAGATTATTTTTTACACAAGCACTTATTGCTGAAACAAATAAGCAAAAGACTAAATTATTTAGCACCATTGATTAACAGCTCAGGTGGGAAACAAACCAGCACAACACAGGTCCTTCAGATGACAGGGGTTGAAACACACTTACTTAGAATGTTTGTCATTGTTAATGCATTAATGCTGGGTTTCCTGGAGTACCCTTTGATTTTCTGGCTTGTCTTCAAACTGAGATCATAATTAGTTCAATTGTTTGTACTGTAGAAACTGTTAAAATAGTAACAATTCAAATAAAATCTTCAATAAGTGCTCGACAGGAATATAAAGATTCAGAAAATAAAGCTTTTTAAGCTTTACAAGCTAAAGTTTGTAAAATAACACACAAAAGCACAACTTACCCAGTGGAAAGATCGCGCAGAATATAACGAGAGTCACCAGCTTCTTCATCTTGTACAGGTATGTGCAGTCTAATAAATATATCTTGCGCAAGTAACGTTACATATATTGTACGTTAATTAAGATTACATAAATGGGTGTTGGCTATACTGACGTACAGGTGTCTGACAAAATCGACATATTTATGTAGAAAGTGAGACTTGAATGCTGATGAGTGACTCTCAACCTCACATAAAAAAAGGGTTCTGTATGAAATATATATGTTGTCTTTTCTTATATGTAAAACTAAGTGCACTTATCTTTATTACAAATAATTATAATTTAATTAAAGTCTGTTTATCGCATAATATTACTGAGGCCACTGTAAATGTATATATGTATTTGAAAAAAGGATGTTGTAGATGAATGTTTTAGTTTTTGGAAAAAAAACAGTCATACTAAATAATTGAAATTAAAAAAATAATTATTTGTATAACCCAATATGTCAAATATTGAATTTCCGTACACAATGTATCATTTCAAACACATTCAAATGTTGAAAAAGTACTATAGGTCATATTTTAATTACGGTGGTCTGTTGTAAATGTGGGAGCACTGTGGCCCCAGGGTTTCAACGGGTGGGTTGTGGGTTCAAGTCTACACTGCAAACCCTGCTGTTAGGTACCTGCTGCTAGATCACCTCACTCAAGGTCTTTGCTTAATTATTAATATGGGACAGAGTCCAGTCTAGGAGGGGTAGTCACGTGCTTTCTTGTAAACTGAATATACGGAAAGTAAAATAAGCTCTAAGCTTATATGGCTCAGATATGCAAGTACCTGTTGTTTATTGTATGATTTTGCAGTGGTTTTACATTCCTTCAACCTCACCGCAGACCATATATATTGTGAAAATTTGTTGTGTCCAGATATCTACAGTATTATGTGAATAAACATTTACAACATAGCCTATGTCCTTTTCATCTGCTGTAAATTACACTGTAATGCGTGTGCACAAAGATGTCTTCCTTCCTTTATTCTAAATTTTATTTATGAAATTGTTATTCTAAATTTTCTACACAACAAAGACTGCACTTTTTATAAGGTTTATATACTACAGTACAACAATGCAGTTTTCAGACCTTTCAGAATAGAAATGGTTGAAATAAGAAAAAAGGTCTCTTGGCTTTAAATAAAGGAAAATTGAGAGAACTTTAAAAGAAAAAGCAAACGTTGTCTGAATAAACACCATGCTTTCATCCTCTAAAATTCTTGTTTCACTTCCCACAGGATCACCTTCTTCTTGAATGCAAAATGTGATCTCTTATTCATTGTGGATAACTAAAAATGAATATAAATATTTTTCAAAACTCAATTCCAATGCTAGAATGAATTAACGAAATATACTTTTGATTAAATTGATCACTTTATTCAATTCCACTTTTCTCAGTTTTTCTTGGACTGTAGTGACATCTGGATTTTCTAATCACACTTAGCCCAAAAATGTAAACTAAATGTTCATGGACTGGCAACTCTACCTCCACAGGCTGGGCAGGACACAAGTCCACCATAGGGCCCAGACACATGTGGACAGAGACCACTTAGAGACCAGCTAAGCAAACCGCAATGCCCACGGAAAATTTAACAAAACTCAGACTGATGCAGGGGAAACATGCAAACTTCACACAGAAAGTACATCAGGAGTGATTCAAATTGAGGACTCAAGAACTGTCTCCCATTTGTCCCCCAGGCTTGTCTTCATAATATGGGTGACAGGACCTTCTCATGCTCCAAGGCTGTGGAAATCAATCCCCAATTCCAGAGAGTCACTTTTCTGAGTGCTTTCAAATCCCGATTTAAGACCTTATTTTTTAGAAAGAGTTTTATATAGTTAGTTCTGTCTACCCCTTGCATCTTCATCTGCATTCTAAACCCTTGTCTTTAAATTGTAATAAGCTTTTGTCTCCTTTTGTTTGGAACTGTGAAGCCCTTTGAGAAGCCACTTTTAAAGGTTTTCACATAGGAACTCCAAGTCCCCTTCTAAAATAACTGCAATACTTTAAATCTCTTTATTTAAATCTCTTTAAATCTCTCTCTGCTCTCTCTCTTTTTTTAGGTAAACCAGGAGTTTCTTTTGATCAATGTGTCTCACACCCAGCGCAACAAAGTAAACATCAACTTACTAGAGCTTCAGCCAAAGGGAAATATGGACACTAGTTAGATATTACTATATTTATTATTACAAAATTATTATTTGCTTTGGCAACACTGATTGTATCCATGGTCATGCTGATAAAGCACCTTGAATTGAATTGAATTGAATATTACCCATTGTGTCTGGATTCTTAGAGAGACCTCCATTGTCATCTACTTCAGCATGTAACAACACTTTATTTTATGAACAAGAAGGAATTAGTTTGTATCGTTAGTGTTATTTTTTAGTGAAACTATTGATTAAAATTGCAGTAATTATAAGAACATGGTGTTTCTCTGAAACAAACAAAATAATTATTATATTTATCTATCTACTGGTTGAAGGATTAATCTTATTTTTGTTTTTTCAGATGGAAGTAACCTGACTGTCAAAGGGATTTGTTAGTGAAAATGACTGTAAGACAACTACAGCAGATCTTTCACAGGTGTTGGGCCAGACTATCATTGCTAATGTCACATGCTGTACAGGAAAGCTGCTGTTAGGTACCTGCTGCTAGATCACCTCACTCACGGTCTTTGCTTAATTATTATAATGGGACAGAGTCCAGTCTAGGAGGGGTAGTCACGTGCTTTCTTGTAAACTGAATATATGGAAAGTAAAATAAGTAAAATTACAGCACAGAGCAGAGGGTATTTCTTCTGCTGGTGCCTCCCAAATCCATCAAATGCTTTTACTGAGAGCTGATAACATCCATCTGCCCTCCTCTGTGTCACAATCGTAAGTCCCTCCTCTTAAGGGTGCTCTGGCTCTTTCCCATTTTAGTTGATTTTGTGCACATGCCTCCTATCCAGCCCCTACCTATTTAAGCCAGATGCTCCTACCATTCTTGACTCAGTTTTGGAAGATGGACATCGGAAGCCCGCCTACCAGCGGGTCAAGGAGAGAACCAACGGCACAGGCACAGACGTCCTGACCATCTGGGTCCGGGGCTGGGAGCGCCTGGCACCATTAACCCACTTTTATTCTCCCTCCCTGCACCGGATCCCGCTCCGGTTTTGTCTTGTCTGTCCTGGATGTCCTGGCCCTGGACTCTTGGACTTCGCCCTGGAGTTTCTACATAAAGAATGAAGAGCTTCATGAATTTACTTATGTTTCCTTGATTGCAACGAACTGCATTTCTCCAATAAATGTTGTTCATCATGGCAGTTAATTCCTCTGTGTGTTTGTATCTGTATTGTGTACAGCTCTAGCCCTTGAAGCCTGGATTCCTGCAGGTTTTACTGTTATTTTTTTTTCATTAGCAACTAATTAAGACCTAAGAAAAACAGCCAATTGGACTCCTTATTCAAATATTTAGTTCAATAAAGTAATGACTTGAAGTGTAAGGAAAACCAAAGTACTGGAGCTGTCCATTATTAAAGTATAAAGTACAGTTTAACTATTTCACTCTGCTTTATAAACAATTCCAGTCACACTTTAGCTTGTTGCAAAGTTACACTATGTGGCCAAACAGGCTTTAGTGTTAGTTTTATTGAAGACCTACAGAAACACAGGTGATTTGACTCCGTATCCAAATATTTAGTTCAATTATGTAATTACTTGAAGTGGAATTGAAACCAAAGTGCTAATAATCGATAATACACAAAACACATAAGAACCTCTAAACATACATTTCTTGGAGTAGATAATAAGATACGTTTAAGACCAAACTGATTAAATATTTCATTTTGCATTATAAACAGTTTCAGTTGGAGTTAGACTTAGAGATCTGATTCAGTCTGTTATAAGGATTAGGGTTTTATTACTAACACAAATTATGTCACTTTGATACTTCATTAATATATTCCATTTATGAAATAATTATCCCATCCAGGGACTGACCAGACTCACACCTGCTAAGCGTCAGTGGGTCACCAGTTGTGAGTTGCAGGGTGATATGGCTGCTGGCTACTGTACACTTTTCTACACCTTGCTTTTGTCAAAGTCTCTTTATAATTCTCCTGTTGCCAGTTCTGTTTGCTCTACTGTTTTTTTGTATCATCTGCCAATTTAAGTAGTTTAAGAAACTACTCAGAATTGAAATCCTTGAGAAATATGTGACACTATTAAAAGCTTTCTAGGAAATACGTCTCATATTTTAGTATCATCTAATGTTCCTGTTGCTTGTTTAACAAGAATCTGAGATTTTTAGCAATGTAGTTATGACTTCCCCTTTCTAAATCTCTGCTATCTCTCAAAGTACCAATTTTTCCTTGTAATGTGTCTGTGTAGTTTCCTTGTCTTCAGAAAAAGTTTCAGAAGAAAGACCGATTCATCTATACTTTCCTCTTACAACAGTTGCTCAAACAATGGCAGTACCCATGAACTGGTGAATTACTAATCTTGTGCCCATCTATAAAATCGATGACAATAGCAAACCTAGCATTTATAGACCAATACTTCTGACTTCTGATACATGTAAGGTTATTTAAACAACAATTAGAACTAAATTGGAGGAACACCTATTTAGAAATAGGATCATAGTGTATAAATAACGTAGGTTTTGCTTTGATTTGTTAGATTTTTTTTTAACAGTCAACAACAGTAAAGTATCTTCACAGTGCATATTATATGATGTATAGGTAACTGCCAAAATAAAGAAAACACCAACATAAGGTGTCTTAATAGGGTGTTGGGCTACAAAACTGCCAGAAAAGCTTCAGTGTACCTTGATATAGATTCTACAAGTGCCTGGAACTCTACTGGAAGGATTAAACACCATTCTTCCACTAGAAATCCTGTCATTTGGGATTTTGTTGATGACACTGTCTCAGGCATCGCTCCAGAATCTCCCATAATTGCTCAATTGATCTTTAGAGTAGTTAGTCACTAACTATCAATGAGCTGAATCTCATGCTTGTAAACTTTCTTATGCTCTTGTTGTTATGTTGAATCCCATCCTCCTTTTGTGAATAAGATTTTACATGTACAATTCCTCAGTCTCTAGATACTCCTTATAGATATTTTAAATT